GCTCTTGGAATTTTAGCACCTAAAATGCTTCTGCCTGTTTAATTACATACCTATCTCTCTTAATAAATCATAAATGAAAAAGGGTATAGAGCAGATCTGACTTGTTTGACAAATATATATGTTTAGTATGTTTTTGTGTATACAGAGATTGTACACAAGTTGACTGTGTGGTACAAACCTGTGATTCCAGTACTCAAAGAAAGAGCTTAAGTTCACAGCCTGAGCACATAGGGAAACCCTATTTTATAATTTTACAGTAATAACTAGACCGATTGTATATTCAACAGCTTTTAATCTAAGAAACACTGACATTTAGCTACCAAGAGAATGTTTTCTTTTTCCTTATTGCCTAGTGTTTAAATCCAATGATAGTTTATTTTACATAACCACTTTAAATCTATAGAGAAAAGTCTGCTCTACAGCAAAATCAAACGTTATAACTTTCTTAGGATTTCATCAAAAATTCAACTGGGTTTCAACCAACACCTCCATAAAACATGCACACTTCCTATTACAATGAGGTTTCAACAATGAACACTGATTGTCCAGATATACTCAAAATATTTTTAATTCTTATACATTGTTAACTTAGAATATTTATTTTTAAAATAGATGCAGATGATTAGTTTTCCTTTAAAAGACCTGCTACTATCAAGAAATAAGAAATATGAAGCCCATAGTCAAACAGCTGTAGAAAAATAGACAAAATAATAGTTGTACAAATATCCTAGAGAAATAGCATTTAAAAAATTCAACCAAAATATTACATGGTCACAGTAACAGCATCACTGGTAAATTTGACACTAATTTCTAGAAGACATTTAGGGTAAACAAAGATATAGCAGTACTACCATCACCACCTCTGCCATCAAAACTGATTTACAAAACAATGCAATGCAAATGTTATGTAACTGTTTCAATGGGAGAAATGATCTCCAATTTAAAATTATCAAGAAAATTGTTAACAAGGGGATTCATGAGATTTACAAGTGGAAATAAAGTAAGATAATACAAAGGTTGCAGGGGAGGCCATGAGCAACCAAAGCAGCTCAAAAGTAGAGGTACACAGATCTCTACAGATCCTATATTTGGGAGAATGCTACTCAATCAAATTATTGAAATTAATACAAAATACACCAAGGATACTTAGTTTGCAGATAAGCTGAATATTCTTGAATGAGACTTTACTATCTCTAGAGAAGAAACTAAAATTAAGTACATGAAATTTTTCATATACGTACACATATATGTGCATGTACACACATATATCTCTTTACAAAAGTGTCTATAAACAAACAATTATAAACAAACTATAAACAAACAATTGTGCCTTAAAATGTACAGGCTAAGGGACATTCTGTTTATTAAAACTACCTAACAAAATAAGTTTTACCTGCCGGCAATCTCATTTGAAGAGTCAGTAATAAAATATAGTTCTGAAAACAAAAGCTAAATTCACATGTTGCAACATACAAGGAAGATAAGGAAAATCAGTAAAAATGTGAAAACCATACCAAATAAAAGGAATAGCAACGGGAACCAAATGTATTTAAATCTGAGGGGAAAAAAAAAAAAAAAAAAACACTGTAACAGTACTCTTCCAGTAGATACACAGTTACAAAAAAAGGGGGAAGAAATAACTTTATATATGAACCTGACACTAAGACATACTAACCACATGTTACAGGAAAAGATGCCTTAATATATAAGGAGCTATACAAAAGTGGGTGAAATAGATTCTAATATGGCAAGCTTTTTACACAAGAACTTAAACAACAGTGTGCCAAGATGAACTCTGGTGTCACTTTTATGCTATTATCACAAATAAAAGTTCAATGCTAAAAGTATAAAAAAATGAGATTACCTAGGACAACTTGCATTAGCATATCAAAATGGACAACCAAACAACTAAATGCTGTATTCACAGCCATGCCCAGATCAGCCAGGATAACTAAAATTCTTACAAGATAAAAACACGTTTCATTTAGAAAGATAGTATGAAGTGATGCAAAGTTTCATAGGCCCTGTCTGAAAAAGCAGAAGTGCTGTGATATGTATGTGTAAGCACAAAATGAAAACTAGGCACCTGAGGTGGAAAGGTAGCAAATAAGGGATGTTAAATATGCACAGGAATTATAAGGAGGATTGGAGTGGTGGCACAGGCCTTTAATCCCAGCGCTCAGGTGGCTGAGACAGAAAGATGATGAGTTCAAGGCAATCCTGGACTACACAGAGAGAGGCAGTCTCATAAAACAATTACGAATAATTACTGTTAATAGTTACTATAGCCAAACCTCCAACAAGTATGAAGGCCAAACAACCAGTTACTATAAAGTGAAAATACTCTAAAAACTAGGATCAAAAATTAACTAAAAATTAAAGAATTTAACCAGGACTTAAGGAATAGGAAAACTGCTACTTTACCCTGTTAATGATATTTTTAAAAACTTGCTAGAGGCTGAGGATGCAGAGCTCAGTGGCAGAGTACTTGCCTAAGGTAGATAATGCCCTGAGCTCTATTCCCAGTACTGCACATGCAAACAACCAGAACACCACTCTAAAGCTTTCCAAAATTGCAACTATGTCAGAAAATGAAAATGTAACATGTTGCTAATTAATCCAGTATAAGCTACTGATAACTGGAGAGCAATTTCTCAGTCCTTCTTCAAAGCAAGACCCCATCAGTATCTGTGACATTCAGATTTAAAGCAAAACTGGCCGCACAAATATATGAAGTATTCTGAAAACATGAATGGAATATAGAGAACATTTCCTTAGTACAGCCTAAGTAGTTAAGAAATCAATGCAAACAACTTGTAAGAGTTTTATCAGAACATATTTTTAAAATCTTGACTAAAAAACTTAACTTTCTTCTTCTGCTGCTGCTTCTTTTTTTTATTTTTAAGACAGCATTTTATTATGTAGTTCAGGCTGGCCTTGAACTCACTTTGTGGCCCAAAATGGCCTTGAACTCACATGGATGCTCCTGCCTCAGCCTCCCGAGTGCTGGGATTACATGCATGTGCCACCACACCTAAGAACTTGACTTTCAAAGTTAAAAGACTAAAGAAAATAAACCGCAAGCAATAGCACAGTCATTGGCTGTTTCATTCAGTTTACCCCAACTTGCTTTGCTATACCATCTATCACACTACACAGTAGCGGCATCAAACCTCAAAGAATGGGAATGGTGAACTAGTAATGCTAAGGAAAGCATGACACCAAGGCTCATATTTCATCTCAAGATTTTATACCTTTGGCTATGCAGATAAATAAAGGAAAGATGATCCCCCAGAAATCTCTAGAGGACAAATGAAGTAAAAGGTCAACTCACCAATAACCACTTTTCATACCTTCACAATAAGCTATAAGAAAAACATCAACTTTCCACATTAAAACAGTCTTTGTATTTGTGAAAAAAGCTTCATTATCAGTTTCTAAGGATACTTATCTCTCATTATTAATGGATTTGGACATAAACCATACACATTTGGAACAAAAATTCTTAAAAGGCGTCTGGCTAGATTTGGGCATGTTCATACATGAGAACAATCATTAGAATTTAGTTTATCTTCTTGAAGGCTTTTTTTGGGGTGGTGGGGAACACATGGAATAAAAGGAAAGAAGAAAGTGCTTGTTAGCACTACACTGCACAGTTCAATTTCGGTTACCCAGAAGGGTCTGAGGCACTTTTGAAGCACCCAGGAATATGTATGAAGCCTTTTTTTTTTTTAATCTTTCAAGTGACAGCCTTCCCTCTAGCACAATCACTCATAAACTCATTTATATCTTGTCAAATATTTTCTGAACACAAGAGTCAGCAACAGCCACACAGGAAGTCAATGTGATGACGACAGTGGACTCCATCCCTCTCATCACACAAAAGAAAAGGCTGTTGGTTAAAACTCTTGTACAGTAATGGTAAGGAAGTGTATAGGGAAGGGGGGGGGGGAATCCTAGACTGTTCTTCTTGCACCTGGGCTTAGAATTCTTTCTGCTTAGAAAGCACTTCTGTACTTGTAGAAATCTAAACTAAGGTTCAGTTTTGCATGACATATTCTCCTGTCTCCAGAATAAGTCAGGCTCTCCCCTCGACAGCACCTTCGAGGCATGTGAACTCTTTTCAAGCCTACTGAAGTCCCATTTTATATATATATGAACACACCAATAAAGTGGAAAATAAAGACACACACATCCAACTGCCTTAAAGATAGGGATATTCTTGAATCTAATGTAGTGCCTTGCACATACAAGGAATAAGGAAGTGTTTTATGAATGAGTCCACGGCAGGTAGTAAGGTCTAGAGAATGCTCTGTATGAGTGCTCTGGGTTTTTTTTATTTATTTTTTTTTTTTTTTTTTTAAAGACTAGTCAAGTGCAGTAGTGAGAAGGGGGAAAGAGTAGAACAAGGAGTTCAATCTGTACTGACTGTGAACAATCAAGATAACTCACTACCTTCGGACCAGCCGAGTGCTTTGTTTTTAATCCAATACACTAAGAGACTCAGCCACAATCATAGCTATGACAACACTGAATCCAGAGTATGTGCAGATGTTCCTCACCTCATCTACTCCGGCACAAGTTCCAAGTTGGAAAAGAATGAATTTAAATGCGCTGCAGATCCCAATTCTATAAAGCTATAGCATACATATATAGGAGAGATCACTGGTCTTTTCATGTAAATCCAATTATCTGATACATAAAGGTTATTATCTAGGGAAAGAAGGCTGAAGAGGCTGGCCTGGCACAAGACTTACCAGAAAACATGGGAGTGTACAACTTTCAGACACAATCACAAAGGTGTCCTACAGACTGACAAATCTGAAGATGAAGTATCATGCAGACTCCAACTTCAATAAGTTATCTGTACTGTGAATTGAAATTTTCAAACTACAAAATTACACAGAAAACCATCCACAATATCTATAAGGCAGTCTGACTCAGTACATTCCCATCATTGGAGGCTGTGAAAGAAAAAAAAAAAGTCTTCAAATACATACTTCTATGCTGAGACTGGTGGAAAGAGTACGCCTTGCTTCGGTCTGGAGAATAGCTTCTGCTACTGACACTGGAGCCAGATCTGCTGTGTGGAGAGTCCTTTCGGCCTACAGGTGATTCTCGGAAAAAAGGAAGCTCCCTTGTATGAGGAGACCGGTCTCTTGTATAATGGGAAGAGTAGAAACTTCTTCGTCTAAAGCCATCTCTCATGTCCCTTTGAATTAAGAATAAAATAAATTGATTATATTCCACGTATACAAACACAAATGACAAAAGGTCTAATTACTAGTTACTCTTTATGTTGTAATCCTGGCTCTCCAACTGCTGAAATGAGTAAACAAAATGAAAGTATACTGGTGAAATATGATTTGGAATGCATTGTTTTTTCAATGAGTAAGTATAGAGGTACTTTATTTCACACAAGCACAAATTCTAAAATGTGAAAAGCAGAAGCACCTATTTTCTATATCTCTTTTCATTTCTGATAAACCATAACAATATAATACTCTGTGTTCTCAAAAATTAATAATGCACAAGATACCCCAAAAGAAACACTTTAAGATCTATTATTCCCTTCTCAGGAAAGTAGAGATTAAGGGTTCCTAATCTAAGAAGCTCCAAAATTTCAAAATTTTTGCATGGTAACATCATACTCAAAAACTTAAATTTTGGAACATGTGAGATGAGAGATGCTCAACCTGTAAAGTTTCTGCAAATATTCTAAAATCTAAATAACTAAAATCTGAAAAATATCTGGTCCTAAGTATCCCATGGGGTTGTACATCTTGTCTGTGCTCCTGGTTTGTGCCCCACACCCTGCCCAGGGTACCAACTGACAGTGTCTAGAGAATCAAGGTTTGTCATGGGGAGAGGGTAGCACTGGGAGAGAGAGGCCAAGGGTGCTAATAAAACTCCAAATGCCCTGAAATTTCTACACATGCGTGCACGAAAACACGCACATGTGCACACACATACACACACACACACACACACACACACACACCCCAGAAAAGGATTTTGTCCAGAGCTTTAAATACCAAGTTGAGAAATCTTAATATAGACCTGTTAGATTTGTGTCCTGAGTTTGAGCCCTAAAGTACTGGGATTGTTACCCAGTCCTAAATAATCTGGCTGGGCTAAGGGTCCCTTGGACATTTGGGTGGATGGCAGGGTGATCAAGTCTTCACGAGCTTAGCAGGGGCTGTGCTGAGGGACCTCACCAGCTCCATCCCCTGTACTCCCCATCCCGTCACGTGAAGGATGCGCTCCACCATAACCTTCCACAGCGATGTTTCTGCCTGGGCACCAGCCAGTCACAGACTGAAACCTCTGAACTCAGGAGCCAAACTAAACCACTTCCCCATTAAGGGGCAAGTGCTAGGTAATTTTTCAGCAATGAGAAAAGCTAACAAACATAGTACAATCATCACCTATGAACCTCTAGTAAAAGGACACTCAAGCAAATGGAAATTCAATGATGTTTAACAAACACATTTCATATGAAAACAAATGTAACACTAAATTTCAGATATAAGACAAAATAAAACAAAGCCATGGAATTTTTTTCTTTTTGTTGTGTTGGGGGTTCGAACCTAGAGCCTTAAACACATGATGTGGAATTTTAAATCTCAGGAAAGAATTTCACTGTATTAATAGTTCCCACCATATATGTAGGCTGTTGTCCTAAAATTCAATTGAATCTGAGATAGATCACACCTAAATTATACTACCGCTAGACACAAGCATCCCTGAGAAAAATTAAAAAGGAACTAAAATTCACTTATGCTAAATGAACTCCTACAGAACACTAATAACAAAATAAAGTATTAAAAATTCTAAGAGTGAAAACTAGTCACAATTATAGTCATACCAATATCAAAGGTTAGTCAGTGATGAAAAGGTGATAGTAAACAAATACACACAATATATATGTATACAGTCAAGAGTTATGGTGAAACCAGGCGTCATGTATACAGCCGTCATCCTAGAACTTGGAGGCTGAGAAAGGAGGACTGCCCTGCGTTTACGGCCAGCCAGGGCTATATAGTGCGACTTTGTCTCAAAGAACCAAGAAAACAAAGATCTAGAGACTAAGAGTCTACTTAGACAAGAGAAAATAAGTGACACCTTACATGGAGTTACAAATTTTACAGGTACAGGAAAATACCTTTCAGACTCCATGCGAAGTGGTGGACATTTGACTACAAAGTGTGAAAGATAAGGAATGCCAAGCAACTCCCCAGAACTCGAACGAGGCACATTAGTGAAATGATAAAAACTGATTTGAAACCTGAAAGTAAAAGCAAAAGATCCATATTCACAAACATACGGGTTATGTCTGAAGTGGCCAGGTACAGCTATGTAGCCCACTTACCTATCTATAATTAGCTCTGGATCAAGGAGCCACACGGCCACACACTCAGGACCCCTCCTGAAGTTCAAGAGCTATTTTTATTGTTATTTCCAATTAAAACTCTCCTAACCTCATGTGATTCACAACTCCAAGACAACGTTTGTGGAACCACAAAAAAGGGAAGAAAACAAAATTTGAGAGTATGTTTTCTGGGAAGCCATGGAAAGAGTACTCCAAGAAGGAATACTGAGGTTTCCTACATTGAAATCAGATTGGGCCTTACTGAACATTTACCTGGCTCATGGGGGAAGGCCCACCTGCAGAGGCAAGACTGCCTCCCACTGAAAACAAGGCAAAAGGAAGAATACAGTTTCCTACCACCAACGCCAGATGGCAGTAAAGTCACAGCACAATTTGCAATGCCCAGTGTGGCCTGGGGTGGCTGGTGAGAAAGGGATTGTCTGTCCTGCTCTTCCTGTCAGTCTCTGCTACTGCTCACCAGAGGTAGCAAGGAAGTTGGGTAGAAAAGAGATGAGCAAATCAAAAAATTATTTAATCGTATTTTAAACAACTGCAGCTTTAGAACAAAAATCTAGGTTTTTTTTTTCTTTTTTCCCAAAACAGCAAACTGAGCAGCTCATTTTCAGATACAATGGTCCTGCCCACTCATTTTATAAGAAGGTATCTTTTCCTATTTCCAAGAGGAATAACCTCACTAAGAGCCAGCCATTCTCTCCCAACCTCTAAGACTAAGACTGAGACCAAGAGTACTGGTCATTAAATACCACAGATTTCTACCTCCAGAAACATAGGAAAGATCCTCAGTTCCTAACTGTATCGTGCCTCATTTCTTGGAGCACCCACACTGGGTTCTTGACCAAGTCCAATATCTTTACCTGTATAAACAAACTTCATGTCTCTCTTACTTTTCAGCAATGGGGGTCAACAAATCTGAGGACACATTTTTAAAAGAGTGGGTTAAGTGCCTTATTTCAGTCTCAGAGACCATCAGACCCACCAGGAGACATATTCGTATTTGTAAAACAAACACTGCACTAGGCAAATATCCTAAGTGCAATTTTTAATAAAGTGGTAATATTAGCTAACTCACTTCTTCAGGTATTGGCTATGCATAGTGCTGCCCCCACACAACAGACATTGTGGAGAATAACCCTGGCTCGGTGGAAGAAGCCCTGGCTCTAAATGGCACATGTGAGGGGCATGTGAGACCTTATCTGGGTCTTTAGGGGAAGTAAAGATTTAGGTCAGTACCTTCTAAAAGAAGTACTTGTGTCAATGGTGTGACAGAGATATTTTAAGAAGAGCTTGAAGTGAAGCATTTCAAGCTCTGAAAGAAAACGACTTCCAATCCAGATTGATAAACCCTGCAAAACTATCTTCCAAAATTAATGGAGAAACAAGACACTTCTATAACAAGGAACAAATGAAGGAATTCAGGACCACCAAACCAACCATACAAAGAATACGTAAGGACATTCCACAAAGAGATAAAAATGACCATGATTCAAGGGAAAACAGCAGAGGGTAATTACTGAGTGGGGCAGACAGGTGAAGGTAAGAGGAAAGCAGGCAATGGTAGGGGAAAAAAGCATGGCAGAGACAAACCAATGCATGCTGGCTGCAACCGTTAATGTAGATGGCCTCAATTCACCAATTAAAAAAAAACAACACCACAAGGACAGTAGATCAAGAAACAAAATCCACTGGGCATGGTGGCTCATACCTATAACCCCAGCATTAGGGAGGTTTAGGCAGGAGGATCATTGTGAGTTCAAGACCAGCCTAGGCGACAAAGTGAGTTCAAGGCCAGCCTGTACTGCATAGAGAGACCCTGTCTCAAAAAGACAACAAAAAAAAAAGAAAAGAAAAACAACATCAAGTAATATGCAGTATGCAAGAAACATTTAATTCAAAAGGAAATTTGTAGACTAGTAAGTCAAAAGAGAGGAAACAATGGTCCATGTGACAGAGAACCAGAAAAAAACCACGGGTATTTTGCCCATCAATCACAGAATGGATAAGAAAGATACGGCATTTTTATATAATGGAAATTACTCAGCTAAAAACAAGAATAAGCACAAGGCTGTAGGTAAATGGAAGCAACCTGAGATCATGCTCTTGGATGATATGGTTCAGTCACATGGGTGAACATTGTGTTGCCTCCCTAGTATAAAAAATTGAAGGATTTAGTGGGATCTAAAATGTATAATTAATGTTGTGAAAGAGACAGGAGAAGAAATACCTAAAGGGAAGGTGGTAGCCACTGTTAATTTCCTACTATCTTGTTTTAAAACCCTATTACCGTTTGTACTGTTGTTTTGTTCTGCTCTGTTTTGATTTTATTACACCTGATGGTATGGGCAGTTATTTCAAAGATAACCAGATACATTATTAGCCATTACTAATTTTCCATTATCTTGTTTTGAAGCCCAGCATTGCTTGCTTTTATTTTGTTTTTTGTTAAAGAGGATAAAACCGAGAGGGGGAAAAAATAGAATAAAAACAATGAAAACAAACCAGTAAGAGTGATACAGGACTTCAAAACCTTACAAAATCAACAATTTACCGTAAAACCTTTTGTCTTCAAAGTAGCTGAAAATACCTTTGGACATAGTAAAAACTGAACAGAACAGACTACAAACAAAAATAATGAATGCAATAAAGAACTTCAAAACAAGCCAATAGTAGCTGGGGATTAAGTTCAGTGGTGTAAGTGCCTGCCAGGCAAGCCCAAAGTTGTGAGTTCAATCCCCAGTATCAAAAAGAAAAGAAAAGAAAGAAACCAAAACAAAATAAACAAAAAAACCTCAAATCAATAATAAATCCAAAATGGCTACTAT